GCCGTCACCAGCTGATATCGCACGCACCTCCTCCATCACCTTTAATGCCACCACCAACATCGTACCATCACCTTCAACACCGGTACCAGAAGTATCACCACCATCATCATTCAACACCGGCACCAGCAAAATCGCACCATCAACATTCCACGCCTCTACCAGCAAAATCACCTTCAACATCGCCACTATTACTTTAAGGCCACCACCAACATCACCTTCAACGCCTGCACCAGCAATGTTATACACATGCACATCAATGGTCCTCTGCAATAACTACAAAATTCAAAATTCAAAACTCAAAAAATAAAAACTGTTACTACTGTTAAGTCGCTCTTGTCTGTAATCCTCGTCTAATCCATTTCCAACCTTTTATAAAGTAAGCAGTAAGGATTGCTAAAGTAAGAACTAAATATTAGACATGGATTCGACATGGATTAGATAGATATATGAGCCACTTAACAGTAGTAAGGGTTTTGTTTTTGGAATTTTGAATTGTGTCGTTATTGCACAGGACCATCGATATGTACAAAGTATGTTATTTGTTTGCACATATGTACTATAAGAGTTTTGTATTAATAAACGTTTTTTAAATAAACCAATTCATTTTTAAAAGTAAAAATTTTGATTTTGTCGTTATTTGTTTTTTCCTGTACTGAGGAGTTTATAACGACAAAAATGAGTAGTTTGATTATTAGTGCTGAGGAGTTTATAACGACAACAATGAGTAGTTTGTTTATTAGCACTGAGGACTTGCTAATGACAACAATGAGTACTTTATTCATTAGCACTTTTCATTAATCAAAGTTTTCAATTAGTAAGAAGAGGTAAAATATTACACCAACAAGGGGAAAGTGCTCAGTTTTATCCCATCGCCTGAACAAAAATGAGTATTTTAATAAGCACTACTGTAATTAGTGATAATGATAAAATGAGCACTTTTTGATGGTCAGCTGTCTTGCAGGGATTGTTTCTGAATAAGTTCGTTCCCTCTGAATTTTCCAGACTCAGTCGAGATCTAAATGAAATAAGCAACTGGAAGTCGACAGAATACCGGCAATTTTTATTGTACTCGGGGTTGTTTGTTTTGAAAGACTGCATACCGAATAACTTGTATTACCATTTTCTTTTGTTGCATGTCGNACGGGGTTGTTTGTTTTAAAAGACTGCATACCGGGTAACTTGTATTACCATTTTCTTTTGTTGCATGTTGGTATTCGCCTTCTCTCTTGTGAGAAGTCATGTCAAGTAGAATCTAATGTCGCTAATGAAATGTTAAAAGAATTTGTAAAGTTGTTTAGTAATTTTTATGGCGAACATTTAATCAATTTCAATGTCCATGGTCTTTTGCATTTAAGTGATTGCGTTAAACAATTTGGTCCTTTAGACAATTTTTCTGCATATAAATTCGAAAATTATATGCAATATATAAAAAAAAATTATTAATAATCCAAATAAAATATTGCAGCAACTATTTTTAAGAATAGAAGAAAGAAGAGATATTACGGATTCTAGCATAATTTCACAAATAGATAAGTTTATTAAAAATTATAAAAAAAAAGATAGTTTCTTCTTCAGTTTCATTTGAGAAATAATAATTTTGTTACTTTATTTTTCAGATAGAATCTAACTGGTTGCATCCACAATAATAATTTTACCATTTTATTTTAATTCCAGAGTGGTGTGCAGAAGACGTGTTGAAGCATCAGCAGCTACGTTTATAAAAAATATATATTTTAATATATAAATTATTTATTTTTAGCCATTTAAATTTTTTAAATTTTTCATTATTTGACTCCGTCATTGGATGATGAAGGTCTTCAACATGCTGGATGGAAGGGCAAGGGACAGTCTGACAAAACATCGTTACAAATGTCTCGATTCAGACGAGGTAGTTGTTTAATTACTAATGCACTTAAATTTTGCATACTTGTAATTGTTTTATTTACTTTTTTTTTAATTTTTAGCAGAAACTTATAATAGCAAAACATGCAGTCGTCGTAGCAGCAGTAATTTGAAAGTGGCCAAAAAAACCCCAGCAGTTACTTGAAAGCAACTTTTGAAGATATCTGCGGCAGCAGTAAAGGCGACTCTGCATAATTTTTGGCATTCTCTTTTTTCACCGTTTTTTGTCAAGCAAAAAACTGCAATATCTTTTTTACCTCGCGGTTCTGTTAAGCTGTAAAATACGTCTCATTATACATTTAATAAAGATTAAATTGGTGGTTGAATAAATAACCCCATAGTTCGTGACCCCGATAGGAGATTAAAACTACCAACGCATCATTGACATTAACTAAACCAGGATGCCACCACGATTAGCAGATGAGCAGAAAACTGAACACGGTGATGAAAGTGGAGATCCAAAGGCCACCGCGGCAAACGAGCACCAACAGGTAGTACCTCAAACACATGTCGGTGCAATTGGTTCGCTCAAACTACCGCGTTTCATGGCAGCAGATCCCGAACTGTGGATCACACAAATCGATGGACTTCTGCTCGTTAACCGCACAACTTCAGATGTTTCGAAATTCTACAACGTGATCGCTGCCTTGGACACCGACACCTTACGCCAAGTTTCTGACATCGCCAAAAATCCGCCGTGATCAGGGAAGTATGACAAGCTTAAAGAGGAACTAATAACTTGCTTCGGCATCTCTAAGGAAAAATGCCTCCTGAAACTACTCTCCGGCACGGATCTTAGTAGCGGCCAAAGACCTAGCCAGCTCCTACGATAAATGCAGGATCTTGCGAGCTCAACAATGCATCGCGATGCACTAACAAACTTATGGCTCCAAAGTATGCCCGACAACGTCATGTGTATATTATTGTCATGCAAATCAACAGATCCGGAGGATATAGCGAAAGTAGCAGACAAAATAGTCGACAATACACCACCAAGCGTATACGAATTTGACTCTTCTGCAAACTCCGCAACTTACGACGTAACCAACAAACACAAACCGCAAAAGTTCGAAGCAAGAGTCACGGCCTTGGAGGAATCGATGAATCAAATTGCTTTAAAACTCGGTGAGCTTTCCACTAACATAAATTGCGAAACATTATTATTATACCATAACGCACAATCTTCACGTTTCGCTGGCCAATCGACTTCCAGGCGCCCGAACAACCAAAAAGTCTGTAAATACCACATTCGCTTCGGCAAAGCAGCCTTCAAATATACACCACCATGTCAGTTCATAAATACGACAAACTCCAAAAGTGCGGGAAACTAGAGTCGCTGCCATCTGTTCATGCAGCAGGCGGCAGCATCAACAATGTCTGCACCTCCGACACCCACTAATACGGTTTCGATAGAATCAACAGAATAAAAGTCCTTGTTGACTCCGGATCTGTCGTTTCCACGATTCTACAAACGATGCTAAAGTGGAAAAGACAACCAGCACCCAGAAGCATACAACTTTTCGCAGCAAAGAACACCGCTATTTTCAGTTACGGCGAAAAGTGTTTAACTGTAGACATCGGCACTAAACAAAAATTTAAGAAGAACTTTTTAATCTCAAATGTGAAATTTCCAATATTGGGCGCAGACTTTCTGTCAAAGTTCTGCTTGCTTGTCGATTTAAAGGTAAAGAAGCTCTTGTCGTCAGTAAGTGCAATGCACTCCCAAGCGGAAACGCAGTCGCCTGAAATTATGCAACAAGCAAACAATGATACAGTAGCTTCCATAAAAATTAGTACCGAATTACAACATATTATTAAGCACTACTCGAGTGCAAAAGAGTACCAACTACGTTTGGAAACAACTGTGTCCCATCGTATGGTGACAAACTGCCAACCTATATCCGAAAGAGTTAGAAGGTACACCGGCAACAAACTAGAAGCCATAAAAAGTCAATTTCAAAAATTATTGTCGCAAGGCATTGTCAGGCCATCTAGCAGTCCCTGGGCCAGCCCAATTCACCTAGTAAAAAAGAAAACTGGTGAATGGAGAGCTTGCGGGGACTATCGCAAGTTAAATGCAAATACCTTACCTGACAGATACCCGACTCCACACTTAGACGACATCAGCGAAAAACTTCATGGCAAAAAGATATTCTCCAAAACTTACATAAACCCCGCGTAGTATAACATACCAATGCATTCTGAAGATATGTGCAAAACTGCTGTTTGCACGCCGATAGGACTTTCCGAATTCACGGTAATGCCGTTTGGGTTAAAAAACGCGTCCCAAACATTCCAGCGCTATATGGATTCGATATTCAGAAACATTGATTTCGTTTTTTGCTATTTAGACGACATATTGATTATGTCAGAGAATCACGATGATCACAAGTCTCATTAACGCCAAGTCCTACAATTGCTGAAACATGCATCTCTGCCGGTCAACTCCCACAAATGCGAGTTCGGAGCTCAGCAAACAACATTCCTCGGCTATCGAATCTCACCACAAGGATTAGAACCGCCACTAGATAGTGTTGAGGCAATAGTTCGTTACCCAAAACCAAACACCATATCTGACTAAAGGCGATTTCTCGGAATCATCAACTTCTACCGTAAATGCATTCCGAACGCTGCGCAGACTCAGGCGCCACTTAACAGTCTCTTCACGACATCAAAAAAAACTATAAGAAACCGATAAAATGGACAATAAAACTGGTTAAAGCGTTTGACGAATGCAAAGCGAGCATACTCAACGCCACGCGACTAGCATTTCTGGCGAATAAGGCTCGATTATGCTTAGTGACTTACGCGTCGAACCCCGCCGTTGGTGCGCACTTAGACCAGTTTAGTAATCAGCACTGGAGTCCACTAGCGTTCTTCTCGGTAAAGCTAAAGCCGCCGCAACTACACTACAGTGCTTACGATAGAGAGCTGCTGGCGCTTTATTTAAAGATAAAACACTTTAGAAACATTCTCGATGGGAGAGACTTTGTTATTAAAACCGACCACAAGCCCCTCACTTTCGTATTCCGTCAGAGGCTCGATAAGGCGTCACCCCGCCAAATACGCCACTTGAACTTCATTGCGAAGTTCTCAACAGAAATAATTCATGTGCCAGGCTCAGAAAACTCAGTTGCAGACGCTTTGTCGTGTATAAATGCTATAAACTCATCGGTAATAGTCACATACAAAGAAATTCAAAGATCTCAAGAAGAAGACAACGAACTCTCAAACATCAACCAGCTAACCTCGCTACGTCTAGAAAAATGATTCCACATGAGGGAATCGAGATTTATTCCGACACATCCACTTCCAAGAATCGTCCTTATATCCCGCAACCGCTGTGAAAAAATATATTTAACCTGGTTCACAACTTGTCACAGGTGTCAAGTCCACGTTGAAACAAATCTCTCAACGCTACGTGTAACCTTCGGTCAGGAAAGACATATCAGAATGGGTTCGCTCGTGCACCAGTTGCCAACGAGCAAAAGTCACAAGGCATAACCAGCTTACTCCGAAACACTTCGACGAAGTTGATCAGCACTTTGATCATGTGCATATTGACATACGCTACCAGAAGATCAAGGATTTCGATACTGCTTGACTATGGTCGACCGTTTTACAAGATGGCCCGAAGTGGCACCCCTGAAAGACATGACAGCCGATACAGTCGCAAAGCAGTTTTACACGTCTTGGGTCGCAAGATTTGGTTCGCCGAAGGTGATTACAACAGACCAAGGAACGCAGTTCGAGTCAGCTCTTTTTCAAGCTTTAGCTAGACTAATTGGCGCTCGAAAAATACATACGACTCCTTACCACCCAAGCTCAAATGGTATCATTGAGCGTTTTGACCGCTCATTAAAAGCCTCATTAATGTGCAATCGCCTACAGTCATGGGTCGACCTGCTGCCGTCCGTATTACTAGGTCTCCGTGTGTCATACAAGGAAGACTTGGATGCCTCTGCTGCTGAAATGTTATACGGCACAACATTGCGGTTGCCAGGAGAATTCATCACCAGCAGCCAAGAACAAGCACACACGTCACAGTTCTTACCCAAAATTCGACAATACACGCAACAACTACGTCCGGTTCCCGCAGCACATCACAGCAACAAAAAAAATGTTTTTCACAAAGACATTTACTCATGCAGTTACGTTTTCCTTCGTAGTGACCACATTAAAAAACCACTCGAACCTCCGTACACAGGACCACATAGAGTAGTAAAACGTATAAGCGATCGCATGTTCAACATCGAAATCAACGGAAAGCCTCAAACCATTTCAATCGAGAGGCTCAAGCCTGCGTTCATGGAGAGAACTCACCCAACCAACAATGGTTCTAAGGAGTTATACTCGCAAGTCATCACCTTGCGATCAACATATAAATAGTGAGGCATCACTAGGGGCAGGGTAGCTGTGGCAGCACTAAAGGCAACTCTGCATAATTTTTGACATCCTTCCAGTATCTTTTTTACCACGCGGTTCTGTTAAGCTGTAAAATTCGTTTCATTATACGTTTAATAAAGATTAAATTGGTGGTTGAATAAATAACCCTATAAATCTAAATATATATAAGTCAAAAAACCGCAATCAAATTTTGCAAAGTTTTAATAAAACTGAATTTTTGTGAACCAGTATAAATGTTTTGCAACTGTTAATATATATCAAAATAAAGGCAAATCGATTACCTTTCTTTTGATTATAATGTTGTTAAAATCGCTTAACTTCTTCATAGAAATTTTGCATCTTTTGAAAACGTCTATATATAAGTCGAAAAAACGCAATCAAATTCTGCAAAGTTGTAACGAAACTGAATTTTTGCGAACCAGTATAAATGATTTGCAACTGTAAATATATATCAGAATAAAGGCAAATCGATTACCTTTCTTTGGATTATAATGTTGTTAAAATCGCTTAACTTGTTCATAGAAATTTTGCAACTTTTGAAAACGTCTATATATAAGTCGAAAAAACGCAATCAAATTCTGCAAAGTTGTAACGAAACTGAATTTTTGCGAACCAGTATAAATGATTTGCAACTGTAAATATATATCAGAATAAAGGCAAATCGATTACCTTTCTTTGGATTATAATGTTGTTAAAATCGCTTAACTTGTTCATAGAAATTTTGCAACTTTTGAAAACGTCTATATATAAGTCGAAAAAACGCAATCAAATTCTGCAAAGTTGTAACGAAACTGAATTTTTGCGAACCAGTATAAATGATTTGCAACTGTAAATATATATCAGAATAAAGGCAAATCGATTACCTTTCCTTTGATTATAATATTGTTAAAATCGCTTAACTTTTTTATAGAAATTTTGCAACTTTTGAAAACGTCTATATATAAGTCGAAAAATTGCAATCAAATTTTGCAAAGTTGTAACGAAACTGAATTTTTGTGAACCAGTATAAATGATTTGCAACTGTTAATATATATCAAAATAAAGGTAAATCGTTTACCTTTCCTTTGATCATAATATTGTTAAAATCGCTTAACTTTTTTACAGAAATTTTAAAACTTTTGATAACATCTATATATAAGTCGAAAAAACGCAATCAAATTTTGCAAAGTTGTAACGAACCTGAATTTTTGTGAACCAGTATAAATGATTTGCAACTGTTAATGTATATCAAAATAAAGGTAAATCGTTTACCTTCCTTTTGATTATAATATTGTTAACATCGCGTCACTTTTTTAAAGAAATTTTACAACTTTTGATAACATCTATATTGGAGTCGAAAAACGCAATCAAATTTGGCAAACTGAATTTTTGTGAACCTCTATAAATGATTCTAAAAATTTTAGAATCTTTTACTTAAATTATCTAAGGTTAATTTGAATTCGCTATGAAGAAAATGCCCTGAGCCGGCTGAAAGGGGGCAATGCTAGACGAGTGCAGCTATATGTTTTCCTTACGAAGTATCCGAATGAGTGCGACAGTGATGCAAGGCTCCCACGTACAGGAGGAAAGTGGTGACAATCTGCACACCGCCGATACAAATGTCACCAGTTTTGAAGTGACCGAAACCCGGGGTTTCACCAGATTTTTCACTACTTTTGGCTGGCAAAATCAACGTTTTGTAAGCTTAATGTTTCAATAGTAAACTTTAAAAAGCCGTTCCTCAAGTTTATTTTGCTGTCCTACAAGAACAGTGATATTAGCGGTGCTCCCTTAAACTCGTAAACCTCGTAAATTTACGAGCCTCGTATAAGAACTGTCAAAATTTGTAAGGAGCTCTATTTACGAGCCCCTCGTAAATTTATGAGGCGAATTTGATGAGCAAACGACCTCGTAAACTTCAGTGTTGCCGAGGGGCTGAAATTTTTATACTAAAAGGTATGATAAAATAGTGAAAATAAATGAAAAAAATGAGCGAATAAAATGAATAATTTCATGCACTAGAAGGAGAGAAATTCATAACAAAAGAACTATAATAACTGAAAAGACGCTGATGTATATGTAGCTTTTTCTCTTCTTCATTATTTTTTAGTTTTTAACTTAAATAGCTCGCAAAAAATTCGTTTTATAATACAACGTTCACGTCCGACATTTTGCTTAAAATTAATTGTCATAACTTATGTCAGGACTCCTACGCTACGTAGACAATTATCAGCGTTTTTGACAACTAATACATTGCATGCATTTAAATTTTTTATTATCAGATCATAATAAAATATTTATACCAAACTAAAGGTAATAATTTGTGCTTTCTATATAAATTCCATTTCTTTAGCATTTAAAACATATTTTTTAAAGGTTATTTCATACAAAAATTACGATTTTTTCGTTTTTTAATATTTTAGTATTTAAAATATGAAAAGTAATATAAATTAGCACATGAATTGAAAGATAAATTAGTTATCTTTCATTTTTAATATTTTTATTGAGCTTTGTACCACGATTGTTTATTAGGAAAAATTGAAAAAGCAACAAAGTCTAAGCGGTAGAAGTTATAGCACTATTTCGGAGATCACCACATCTCCTCATCAGACTTCTTTTTCTAGACTTCAGCAGGGATCGAACCTGCGAATTCGATGTTCAAAGTCAGAAGCGTTAACCACTGAGCTATGTACATCCCGTAAACTCTTGTTGCTAATTCATTTTCCTTATTCAACCAACTACTATCAAGTGCAGCTGATTTGCCGCTATTTAAACTCGACAGCGTGGTTGTTGTTGTCAATTCTATACATCCATTTGCTTATTTGCTTTTTTGTATAGTTTCAGGCAGGCTCTTCCTAAACTATGTATTTGTCAAT